ACAAAGTTAGGTCATCACGTGCGTGCACTAGTCAAAAACACTGGAGATATGTCTTCCTTTTATCACAACATAACTGATCGAGGTCGCTCAGCCATAACCCTTGAAGGGTCGTTACCTACTTTGCCCACCCTGGCATTAAAATTACCAAGCACGATCTTTACATCGTGTCGCAGGCTTCGCTCTAAAGTATGCTCTAGACGATTATAAAAGGTATCTTTAACCAAATCGTCCTTCTCTTCCGTTGGGACGTTTCGATTTGATGCGAATTGTGGCGAGCCGCTCATCTACTGGGGCTAATGACAGTACTCGATGAAGGAGTCTCTCTCCCACCACAAATCCGACACCAAATTTACGCTCCTTTATATGGCCGCTGTAGTAAATGTCACAAGAACCTTCTCGCTTTCGCCTTTGTTTCGTCCATCGGACTTCTTGGACGATGGTGATTTCAGCTTTTATACTTACGAGGACATCGACCAGCTGAGCAGCGGTACCTTCCCAATCAAGGGACCGGAGATTCTAAGTGGATGCCATCAAATCGTTATCCTTAATTCGTTTGCGAGGTCGTCAACAGAAAGGGGTTACCTCATCCGAAATGTTGCAAAATTTTTCATTGGAGCTGGTATCTACGTGGTGAACATCCGCTGCAATTAGACTTCAGTAGACCCTTAAACCGAATAAGTCGGACTGGCTCCACTGAAGCTTTCCGTTTCCTTAGCCGGGATTCAAGGCTCTACACGGGTTGGTTACCGCATCTTGCAAAAGGACTGTTCACGCTTCCGGGTTGCGCTACGTGGACGCAAGACTAGGATATGAGTATAGCCTCGCAACTGTCATAGCATACCCAAAAGATTGACTACACCCACAACACAACGATCTGGTTTTGTGTTTTCCAACCAGGGGACTGCCAAGTAGTTTGGTGAGTTTTCTTTTGCTGGAATCTAATACTATAGACAACTATATTTCGATCAACGGCGAAATAGATCAGCTTTAGCCCATTGGAGCTGTTTCGTTGTGGAGGCTGAGTTTTCCGACAGTTGTAGCAAAGATACTTTGGCAAAGGGGCTTCACTCTAAAGTATGCTCTAGGGTCTAATAAAAGGCATCTTTGGCCAAATCATCCTTCTTTTCTGTCGGAGCGTTGGCGCAAATCAACGATATGTTGAAAAACTTCACTTTGATGCGGATTGTAGAGAGACGCTCATCCACCCGGGGTGAATGCCAGTACTTGACGATGAAGTTTTCTCCTACCACCAAAGCTACACCAAACTAGCGTTCCTTTATATGACCACTGTAGTGAATACCACAAAGACCTATTCGCTTTCGTCCTTATCCCCTCCATTCTTAAACCATGGTGATGTCAGCCTTTATTCTTACGAGGACATCAACCACGTGGGCAGCGGCACCTTCCAAACTAAGTGACCGGAAAATCCAGGTGCACGCTCTCAAGTCGTAGTTCTTAAAACATTTGCAGGGGTGGTCGTCAATTCTGACCTGCCCAAATGATTTCAATCTGACGACTTTTATATTTTGCGGTACAAAGTTGTAGAAAGATTAAATAGGCTTTATACCAATTACCTCAAATACAGTGCATACCGGGCAACGGTGCGCAACTCCGGCCACGCCATAAAATTTTGCCCTGAATTTCACAAATTGTCAGAAAAATAACATTATAAGGTTGTACAGAAAAACAGCTTATGCTTATTATCATAATTTCAAGTAAAAGCAAGTTTACATGTGCAAAATGGCAATATAGGCATAATTCTCTACTGCGCATAGATGTTATCCCGACGAGCAACCGTGTTTTAGTTGCTTGCTTTACTGGCGTAGACATCGCTTACGCGATTTTAGCAGATTTAACAACATAGTGCTAAACGTTTCTTCTTTTTGCTGGTCTTCCCGAAAGAGTGGAGGTCTTTCTTATTCCTCTGCTTCCACCGGCGGGTACTGCATCGAAATATGCACATAATCAAGCCAGCGTAGCCGCTGTGTGGCCTTGGGGCGCAATATTTTGCTCTTTATTACTGGTTTCTTCCAAAACCAAGCAAAGAACAAACCACAATTCGAGCGGTCGGTCCATTGTCAGGCTTCTATTTAAGGAAACATTTCCAATTTCTTAACATGAAACGCACGCTTCAGAAGAAATGTAAGTTAAAAGCAATGTGCAACGATGTGTTGCAAGAACATACAACATAGCCCCGCGTGAAATAATTTCCAATGGAAATAACCATTCGTTTTATTTGCCACATCAGCTAAAGTTACCAACATTAAATTTAGGTAATTCCTTAAATACTGTTTTATATACAGGTCCTTCACCCCAACCTTACCTCATGTTGCTAGTCCTAGAGTGTCTCATGTACATATATGTATTCAATGGAGCTATTGCAAAATGTATTTCAATAAATTAACGGCCACATTGCAGTCATACGTGCAACAAAACGGCAAATTCTCTCGTTGGTTGCAAAACTGTTTGACCCGGCAGCACGGCTATCGCCAGCCAGGATACTAGAACAGAATCTGCTTCAAGACCTTTGGCTCGATGGCATTGATTAGAATGGGCTCGCAAAGCCCACTTCATTAGTAAATGGCCTAGCCTTTCTGCCAATATATGTACGCGCAGAAGCGAATAATCGTGCAACATCCACCCTAATAGTTGCAAAAAATAAAGTTGCACCGCTTGCACTCAACGCAAGCAACAAAAGCGCTGCCAACTAATGATCGCTCTACCCTTTTAGCGGTGCGCAAGGTCCCTACCGTTTTCTGCAACCGGAGCGCACTTCGCAGGGCCGTTTTTAATAAAGTCCTCAGTATTGATATCGTTTTTTTGGGGACGAAGGCCGTGCATCTTGAGTTATGCTTTAATTTTACCACTGAGCCATAAAGGGCATCGTTCGCCCGATTTGTTGAATTCGTCATATTCCACAACGATAGTTCAATACATATTATCTAGAAGTATACACCTCATACATCTATTGGCAATGTATACCAACGTGTGCCCCACACATAGGCGGTGTGCGGGAACCCGCAGTAAAAAGTTTTGAAATTTATATAAAAAAAAACGCTGCATCCCACAAAATCACATATGAAGAGTTTACAATACTCCTAATTCGAATCGAAGCTGTACTCGATTCCCGGCCACTTTCAGCCTTATCCCAGGACCATGCTGATTTCACATTACTAACTCCGGGTCATTTTATTCGAGGCGCTCCGCTAGTAGCTTAATTATTTATTTAAATTAATCAAGTCATATAAAGCTATTGGGTGTTGATCGCAAGGGGATTTGAACGCGAGCCTTCCGTATGGCAGTTCGCATAGCTAACCACTCGGCTACCGCGGCCGCCATTATCAACATTGTTAATTAATTCTAATAAGTTGGAAAGATATAAACATATGCTAGTAACCCAGCGAACTTCGTCTCGCCTTAACAACAATACATGCTTATTTATTACATTAAGAGTGATACAATGTAGATTGAATTTCGAACATCAGAAATCAATATGGAAGTAGGCAATCAAAAACAAAGAACAAAGATGGTTTGGGCAATTCTCATAAAATTACTTTAGTTAAACTAAGCGTTTTCAGATAAGTAAAGTTCAAGCATCCCATACGAGCGAAATAAAAATAAAAATTCGATCAAGCTGAACCATAAATAAGATTATTAAGAACCAGTTTCTGTATGTTTATCTTCACCGTAAGCTACCAACAAATTAATTTTCATGTGAGTCGAATCGTAACTAAGATGTTCTCACATGAATCGGTACCCGATATTCTTTTAATAAAGTTGAATTTTATTTCGGTAAAGCCGTTATCAATTCAAGGAAACTTTAAATTGTTTTCAACATAAGGGTTTCTCATTGAGCGAGATGGCATATGTACTAAAAATTATCCACATGTCCGCATACAATATATCTATTCTGCATATGACACTTGATGAAGTCGATAAGGACTTGAGGAAACTAAGTGGATGATAAGCGCAACTTGACCAGTGGGCGCGTGATAAGCCCGTTTTGAGTAAGTACATCAAAAACTCCAATGTAGTTATCCGATCCACGGCCAACATTTCCAATTCGTCCGAGTCACCACTTGGTGGGTGGTAGTGGGTCTTCTTCGACTATTACAAAGTCGCCTGGTTAAGGACCTCGCTGAGAATTCTTCCACTTGTATCTCTTCTGAAGGTCTTTGAGATATTCCTCCTTCCAGCGTCGACTGAATTCGTGGTGAAGGACTTTAATCTTCTCCATCGTTCGATCAATGAAAGGTCTATTGCGTTTGGCGCGGGAATGGCCATAAGCGGTGCACCTCGGATAAAATGTCCAGGAGTAAGCACAGTGAGGTTAGCGGCGTCTTGCGAAATTGCTGACAGAGGTCTCGAGATGTAATAGCGTAGTAAATTCCTCATACGTAAACTTATGGGATGCAGGAGTTTTTTGAGATGAATTTTAAAGCATTTAACCACTGATTCCCATAAGCCACCCATGTGGGGTGGCTTCTCGAGCAGTGCCAAAAAGATCTCAGAATCTGACCATTGCACACTTGTAAACTGAGGTGTTTCTGAATGTTTGCAAACAGTTTTTTTAAGAGTAAAACGCCTAACAACTCTAAGCGTGGTAAGCTTACCGTTTTCAACGGTGCTACCTTTGCCTTTACAACCAGACGGGTGGACGTTACTTCATTAGTAGCACGTGTGCGGATGTATATTTTTGCATAATATGCTTTCTCTGAAGCATCTCAAACAAGGGTTGACTTGGGTGTCCTGCCCCGGAGCGAAATTTACCCAGCGTGGTAGGCAGATTGTGTCATTTCGACAAACCTGTGGGCTTAGCACATTCATCCCAAGCATTGCCGTCTAGAGTTCTTGCAAAAGAATTTTTGCTTGAATCATAACGACAGCCATCCTGCCGGGTTAAAATATTTTGCAACCAACAATAAATTGTGTCGCTTAGTGACCACATTTGCTGAAGTAGCTGACAGAGTTATATAAGTAAACTTATTTGTTAGAGCGTTCTATTGTATACCCAGAGTTTTGGATTTAGAAGAACTCTCGAATATCAGAAAGCTTGAATCGAGCAGATCCTCTTTGGGATATTGTGGCAGTATAGTGGCGTTATTTTCTGTTAGTTTTTTGAGTATGACACCAGCAGATTTCATATCACTGACCTCTTGGAAAAGTGATTCGGAAGCACTATCTATGCCATGACTACTGGATAGAATGTCATCGACATATGTTTGGAAGAATGAGCATCATGAGGTCTGGTTGAGGAGTAGGACCAGTATGCAAAACATCATTAAGAGAATTGCCTGAGCACGATTTTCTTGAATCGTTAAACACCATTTGAACTTTAGTGGTCACGATATCCAGCTTTACAACCATATAATGTGGCAAGTAGAATGAGTGATAGTTACCACTGGAGATTATTTCACGGGGGTAGGTGAACTCCATGTGTTCGAGGTAAAGAAATTCTTGCAACACATTTTTATACATTATGTTTAACTCTTCTGTTTTCTTTACCGTGCACTCCATACTGAAAAATTGTTAAAGCGCCGCAGACTGGGAGTGGCCTAAAGAGAGTTTTGCGGGAAAATCTTCCTTGAACGGAAGCCGCAAAATATACCGACCGTTTGAGGCACGAGTCGTGGTATGGTTGTATATGTTTTCGCAAGCTTGATTCCAATTTGAAGTTTGTGGAGTTTGCGGAATTTCTTCCTCTTCCCAGAATTTTCTCAATTGATCACCAAGTGTATCAGTTGAGATTTCTTCTACTTGTGTCGAGAACGACACCACGGTTACTGGACCGCTATGAATCCTACCAGATATTGTGTTTTGCGGAAGTACTGTGTCGCAAAGTGTTTGTACACCTTCCACGAGAATTTGTGAGAGTATGTCACTGCCTATCACCATATCGGTTTGAGCTGGTATATGACAATTTGGTCAGCAAGTTTAATGATTTTGAACTGTTGCCAGGTATTAAAGCTTATGGTAAAGGTTGGCAAATGCTTTGTTAGCTTTTATAGCAAGATGGCTGGGGCATTGGTCCGTTGCTTGGTTTTGGATAATATCAGAGTCAAGGAACAAAGTTTTGATGAGTTTTATGTCCACTCATTTCAGAAATTTCGAACTTGGAATGTTAGACTGGAAGTCGCCTTGGTCAACTATGGATCTGATATGAAACAATTCTCCTTGGTGTTTCACTGCGACAATGGCAGTTGAAAGGAGAGTTTTGCTATCGTGTCCCGCATGTAGTGATTGAATGTGTGCAACAAGAAATGATGCCGTAAATGGCAGTGTGCACATGCAATCATTACTGTGGTGACCTCGTGATAAGCAGTTTTTGCAGAGTTTATTCTGCTTCGTAAAACGTATTCGGTTTGATACCGAAATTTTCTTAAAATTGTGGCATTGTGAAATTGGATGTCGGGAATTATAACACGGACATATATTATCCTTTTTTGGTTCCACCACGAATGGTTGTATCCACGTTTTGAGTGGAGACTGGTTTTGGTTTGTTTTGGCTTCGATGAAGCCGATTATGGCGCTCCACTACTTCGTATCTATAAGTGAGGAAGAGCATATATAGACTAATATTGGATTCCAACTTTCCTTCGTTACACCCTGGGAATGTAAGGCGGAGAGAAAGTCATTTATTGTTGTTTTTAGTCTTTGTAACTGCTTGCTTTTTCGGTCTGTACGTTTGACAGCGAGAGTAGGATTTTTATTTGATTGTCCACTAGAATACGTCTGCTCTCGTATTTTGAACGCAATGCTTTCCATGCTAGCTCGAAATGACGATTGAGCCGGCTTTGCCTTCTGTTCTTTACCGGAGATGGTACAATTTTTGTGCACGGGAGAGCTTAGGGTGTTTAATGTAGACTGCTGTGAACATATCACGAAAAGCTGGCCATTCTTCATAACCCCCATAGAATGTCTCTGTGCATATATTTGAAGAAGAAGCTTCTTCTGAAACTTGTTCAACGCGGAAAGATGGACTCGGCCAAGTAGCTGCTCGAATTAGTTCGAACTGGTCTGCTATCTTCATCTTTGTAAGCTCATACGCGTCATGGCACGTGGGGTATTTATTGTCTGCTGAAATTTTGAAACTTTCGGGCAGACATTCGTCGGGCTTTGAACAAAACTCTTTATAGACAGTTTTGGATTCTGCCCAACACTCATCCAGTGATTTGTCTTTAATTTTTTTAATTTTTTGATCCAGATTAGGGGAATTACTGAATCGAGAACAGTATCTAATCACATTGTCACTTAATGAAATTAAAAGTTGGGCGGAAGCATCACTCTGTTTAGTTTTGAACGTTTATGACGATCCCCTTTAATTGCTTGGGGCTTTGAGTGAAGATCCCTTTCTTGTTTCGGAATCGGACATTACTAAGGAACCCAGGTACTTTTAGTAGGACTAGAGCCAATTAGCATTTAAAAAGAAATAAGTATTTAATAGTCGCTTTATTATAGAAAAATAATGCACTTATGCGACAGAAAAATTTAAAAAATAAATTGGTGGTTGTGTTTTTGGGTATTTTTTGTTGTTGTTGAAATCATAACTAGTTATCGTTTCGTTATTTAATGTCTTGTAAAATTAAATTTCAGGAAAAAATTATGCCGAAAAGGAATTCAAAAAAAAAATGTAATAAATAATTTATATATAATTTGTAATTTTATTAAAATTATTCAATTATTAATTAATTAATTTTTATATCGAAATGATATATTTCGTTTAAATATATATATCTTGTATCTCGTAGATTTTAGCACGGACATGATATGTACATATCGTATGCACATGACAATCGAAAACAGATACAACAGCTGTTTGAATATACATGGCTATATTGAGATATACGTATATGTGTATACATATGTCAACAAATATATTGACCTCAGCTGCTCCCGCAACGAAGAGTGCGCATAGAACAACAATGTATTGGAAAAACAATACGAGCAGATCAAAGAGTGTTTAGGTGCGCGTGTATGCCCAATATTTAGGAGATAAACATACACACAATATATATATGCTCCTCTTGTAATATCGAAAGCGAATTTCGCACAAAGCGAGAGTTTCAACTGGAAAATTGTTTTAATTTTTTTAAATATTTTACAAACTGTAACTTTGAACGGGTTTTGGGTACCGCATGTTTTTTTTTATTTTAAAGGGCTTTTGGCGGAAAGATATGTATATATGAATGGGTATTAATTACAGTATAAATTTTATAAATACTTTTTAAGGAAATTAAAAAGATTGCCTAATTACTATTTGTTAGGTGAGAACTTTGGGTACATTTGTAAATATCCTTTTTTTAATACTTATTTTTTTGGATTCAACGCTTTTTGTCTCCGCCACTAATTTTCTTTTCTCTTGTTAATTTTTTTTTATTTTTATTTACTTTTTTCTTTTGGTATTTTCACTGTTTGATTTTATTTCACTTTTTCTATTTAATATGTATATATGTGAATGTGTTCACTCTTAAGACATTTACACGTCACTGTTAGTGAATGTTTGATGTTTAATAAAAAAAGGTTTTGTTTTTTAGAATAACTTTGTTTTTAATATCAGTGGCTGTGAACCGTAGTTTGGCTCATTTGTAGCGTCGAAGGACCAATGATAAATTCGATGAGGACTTGAGGAAAGTAAGGGGATGCCAGATGTCGAGCGAGCCCAAGTTTAAATAAAAAGCACTTTTTTCAATAAAATTGTTTCACAAATTTTTATAAAAAATTCAATGTAATGGTTTCATATATATACTCAAAAGAAAGGGTTTCCAAAATATATTTTACCATATTATTTAGAAACTGTTGATTAAGATATTAAGGTAATAATAATAATTAATTAAGACACTATCTGCGTTTTGAAAGCTGCTGTGCGCTAGCGAGGGCTGTTGATTTTAGATTGATTTTTCGTTAGCCCGAACGGCTGCCGCTAAGCAGTCCATCGGCTAACGAAATTCATCAAAACAGGATATGGTAATTGGCGCGTGATGTTGCACACGGAAATAGTGTTAGCAGACGGGTAATTCCACGTGCACGGCGGTTACATTAATTTATTTATGGCGGCTTAAACAGACGCTTAAACAACAATTGTCATAGCGCACGTCTAAATCTAGTCCAAAAGTCGTCATTGTTTGACCTTGCGCCTAATAATCATCGCAAATGCCAAGCGGATTGGAGATTGTAACCATTTGAATGGTATCGGTGAATCTAAAGGAATCAAATACAACTTCACCTTGCCCATGATTTTTTTATTACTAATCGCGTTCCATTACAAAATTTTGGCGAATTCAAGTTACGTGGTGGCATGCTATGTAAGTCCATAGAATTCTAAAGTTCTAAAGGATAGTTGACAACTTCGTCCGGATCAACAACAGTGTCCATTGATTTGAATGTAAATTCATCACCAGGCAATGACTGTAGTATTTTGAAATTGATTGCGTCCACATCTACATTTTTTGCAGCTAAAATAGCTCGCTCACGTAGCCATGCCTTTGGTAGCCACACTATGGCACAAGTTTTCTGTAAGTTTAATACAATGTGTATCTTCATACAATTGAATTTCACCATTACCAATGTTCAGCAATTGTTCCGCATATCGTAACGCCGATGTGTCGTTTTGGAGTTGTACGCGCATATTAATTGTAAGGCTTAATTTAATAATATTTAATGACATGTCGCCATAGATATGACTCTTTCAAACATGCGTTTATTATGCCCGCATATGTTGAACGTGGACTGACAGGTAAAAGTTGTCTGAATTCTCACTTGTACGTGAGTTTGCTATTTGTTCTTACATTGGCATAAGTTTTCAAGTGCTCTTCTACTGTTCTATTTGTTCGGTGGTTACCAGAGAGCTGCAATGCATTACCATTTTCGCTCACACTCGAATCAACACTCTGATTTTCTTTGATTCAAATTCTTTGGTACGAGTTCGACTGTGGAGTGAAATAGCCAATTGCATGCAAACATATATGTATCTCGGAAACATTCGAATGCCGTTGGCTTGTGACTTGTTCACAAACGAGTAACAACTAGTATATCTTACTTGTTATACTTATTCTATATTTATACTTATTTGTTTTCAGCACTGATTTATACTCGACTGTTTGCAAGTTGATCGATTGGATGAGTGTGTCTCGCGCTAGTGATTTTCGCATCTATTATTATGGCACAGGAAGAAAAATGTAAAAACTCTAAAATATAGATATTCTTTACCAAATGTGCATATATTTATTTTATAAAACTTTTAAGACTGTAATGAAATACTATTTATATTATTTGTGTTAATTAACTAAACTTTTTTGAAAATTAATAACTTTTCATAATATTTTAGAATTTTTGTATTTATTTTTATGTTAGGCATTATATGAAAATATATAATATACATATATGTTGTAAAAAGTACAAAAGCCTTTTGTTTTCAATTTCAAGTCAGTGTATAAAATTTCTGTAACTTGTTTTTTATTCTCCTGAAGTTATTGGTTTGCAGTTGCAGAAATATTATAAAATTTAGATCACAATGATTTTTTTTCGCTATAATTACTTTTAAAATTTTTCATAGAATTATTATTGCCAATTATATTGATTGCATTTAATGCTAGTTTTTAGTGAAGTGTCTGCGTTTATGTTTGTGTATGTGAATAAAAGTCTTAAACTTTTTATTAATATTAATATTAATTTAATTTAATAATATAATTTATTGGTGTCGCTAAGTACTCCTTGTTGCACGACATTCATGTTCCAATTCCAAACTGTACTAATTAAAAACTATTCAACAAGAATAATTATACCGCTTACTCAATCTCCGCTGTTATCCGTAACTGTAATTACTTATTCAATTCCAATAAGAATCAGGTGATCATTTGCTTGCTCTACCTGAGTAACTCAGAAGTGCAAGTTCTCTG